TCACCACTTCTTTGTCATAATTTTGTGTTCCTAGACCCTTCTCGCTGAGGGTGGTCATTAGGTTCGAAAAAACATCGCTTTGCATCTCTTAAGCTGCCTCTATCCTGCTTACCTACAAATCACTATCTGACCTCCTTACTACTGAAATTTCGAGCTTCATTTTGCCGTATCGTATTGCGTTGGATAACGTTTTCCCCACAGGACCGCCGATCAAATTGAAAACACATTTCAGAAAGGATGTCTAGCGTCGAATATGATGACTACGAGTATGATGACGCTAACCTGACCGATGCTGAGTATGAAGATCTGGTACGAGCCACACTTTGGCCACAAACCATTGAAAAGACCTTCGTTGTGGTATTGATGACTATGATGGTAATCGGTGTCATCGGTAATACATTGGTCGTCGTCGTGGTCATCTCTAAAAAATCCATGGTAAGTAAAAAGTTTAAAAAAATGTTTGTAAGTCTCCATTTCCACACAGAATTATATAATAATTGAAATAATTCCATCAGACTCTGAAGATCACTTGGTTAATCGCACCAGTCACTGGTTGCTCGGTTTTCATCGAAATTTTTTTTCTGGATGGATAAAACTTTGCCTGTCGCTGGAACTTTCCATTTTTCATACCTAATGTTTTTTGTTGCCCAATTTCGAAGATAATAAAAAAAACCAACTCAAAAAACTTTCTATATTTCCCAAAATAATGTAGGGTAAATAGAGTTTTGTTTGCTACATGTTTCGTGTCCTAAAGTAAACAATACTTTCTTCACAATTAACAACGCTAATTTCAAATAAATCACTAGATTCATGGATTTCACGACTGCTATGAAATGTGCTCCGTTCAGGGGTTCCAGTTCTTCCCTGAATATACCTAGTCTTATGACCTTGTAAGATCTTCCAAGGGATTAAAAACATGTTATGGCAATCGCATCTGCCTGAGTTGCTGATTCACATCCAAGCAAATTCAATCACGTAGGAATATCAAACGAACTGGATGGGCAGTCCCTACCAGTTAATCAATTCGCAGGACGATGCTTAGCCTGGGAGAAGTGAAAGCCGATTGGAATACAACAGACTCTTGGTGTGGCCAACAGCTCGAACCGAAACACGGACCAAAGGGGGTAGAAAACAGCATAGTGCATATCGTAGGGATTGATTGAAACCTTCCCTTTCACCCTTTTCCCTTGCAATTTCAAATTGTGGAAGAGTGGCGTATTCTCCTTGGAAATGGCAGTCACTTAACTTTTTTTCTGCTCCCAGATGCAATACACTACCTGAGAAAGTGCTCATTGGAGCTCCAAGCATTTCGTCACAGTGAATAAATCAACCAACATTAGTTCCTTCTATTTACGGTCATTTACCTATCATTCTAAAAAGCTATTACTTCAATTAATTATTTTGATGAATCTATTATACAAAGGCCGGTGCTATTAGGCCATTGTATTTCTGAGTATCAGCTAATCTGATGCGCAATAAACAGATAATCGGATGTCCCGTCTGATGGGGAGAATTTTCCAGTTTTCTTCTCCTTCCAACCCAATTACGCCCAGGGGACGTTCCACAGGATCCACGATTCCGGGAAACATTAGGTACATTCTCCTCATCAATATAGTCTGTATCTGAGTACATTCGATGGGACATTATTGAGTCAAAGTGAAGCCTATTGAGAAAATTATGCTTCGATTGGGATCCCCCCGAAAGATGAAAGGACCGTGAGAAGCTCGCCCAAAATGACTACTGCCGCTTCCCACAGCCTCTTCATCACAGAATATCCCGCTAGCTTTAATCAAACATCCCCTCATCATTGACCAATGTATTCAGATCTATTCCCAAGTCATAAGCGCAGCATCCAGTGAGCTGTTTTCCTATGGAGGTGTTGCATGGACACTGGTTGAATTGTGGGGAACGAGGAGCATGGTAAAAATTAGAAGGAAAAAGTTTTTGGACGTTGTTCAGTCCCTTTTGAGAAATGCGCCGCGCATTTGACTCCTATTCAGGATCGTGATGACAGTTTAAGGTCTCTACAATGATTTTCGTTGGCCAGCTGATATACAAGCCAGTGTTTTTACTCTCCCAGACGAGTCTAGTACCAATCAGACGACGAGGGATGGAAAGCTTGGTTTGCCTTAACGGATATCGGTCCGGGATTCGTAATGACATTGCCGTTTAGCTCAACACCACCTCTCCCCACAGGAAAATTGATAATCACTAATAATTATGCATCCAGTCATGTAAATTTTGGGTTTTTTTCTTGTCCTACAATGAAGCCCCCCTTTCCACGAACATTTGGAATGAAAATTTTCTTACACGCCTGGAAAGGAACGTGTGTCAAGGTGATAAGAATGGAAAGGGATAAAACACTTTTTTCGGGCAATATTCCTGCTGCTTGTTCGCCTTCATTATAGCAACGGTCTTCATGTCCGATTAGACTGTGCTAATAAGCCTACAAAAGAAAAGTGTTCCATGAACCTGATTCTATTTTGTCAGAACTTTAGCTTGGTTTACTACGCTTTATTACAAATTATTATGAATTATTACTATTTACTTTCAAGTATCACAAAATATCATCGTGTATTATCATGTCTGCAAAGACAATGATCATCAATAACGACAATGGTTTAAGATCTGTTCTATTTTACCGTATTCTACTACTGGGGCTCTCTTTTTACTGAACATTCGAAACCGCACGTGCCCGAGAAGGACTCCCAATTTTAGGTGTTACCCATAGGAGGAGACAAATCACTACCATTATAAGCAACCATAAGATGGGCTCTCTTGGGAAGAATTGCTCTTTGATGGCTGCAAAGCTCCGGCTCTCATTATGAGATTTCAAGACGCAAAAGAAAAGAAACTGCCGTCATCGTCGATGTTAACTGTTACTGTAGACTTTTACTGAATCAAGGTCAGAACGGAAGGCATACCACAAAAAAGGCAAAAAGCACTTAGGCTAGAAATTAGGGCATGGGCTGGCGATCAAATTACGGGCCAATAATTACTCAGACCAACCAGCCATTCCATCCTTTCTCGGTTGAATGACACCAAACTCGTCTGAGAGGGTAACAACTTGTGCATCGGCTGACCATGCAAGTCAATCTTCAGGCCACATACGCACTCGCTGCTACGATCCTGAATGGAAGCCGAATGCGGGGCGCATCCCTCAGACGGGATCGATTGACCCCAAAAGTCTCTATTCCTTATTCTCAGTAACCCAGACTTAGGCCATCCATGCAAGCTTTCCAGTAATCTTCCAACTGATTGAGTACGACATTCGTGTGGGAACTATTACTGCTTCACCCAACTACAAAATTGATGGCTTGAAATCCATCTTCCCATGGTTGACTCACAATAGTTTGTAGTTCGTTCAGCGAATGGCCATTAAAGGCTCATTTTCAGAAAAAGGGTTTAGGATACATCGTTTTGAAAGGGAAATTGGTCGTTCTCTGACTGAATGAGCACTTCCCAATGAAATAACACGAAACCTTCAAAGCCGTCATAGAATCGAGGAAGCGGGTGTTCATTAAATGGAGTTAGTCAGCCAGACATATCAAAATCTACAGCGAAAAGTATTGACTATACTTCAAACCCAGCTTGGA